GTGCGCGTCGCCGTCGCCGTCCCCGCCGCCCGCCGAGCCCTCAGAGGCGAGCGCACTGCGCGCCGCCACCGCCGCGCGCGCCCCCGCCCCGCCCGGCCCCGCCACCGCCGCCTTGGCCCCGCCCAGAACCGCCTCCGGGCCCCTGGCCCCGCCCCCGCTGCCAGAGCGCCTGCCCCCGCCCACCCCGCGGCCGCCTGCTCCACCTGGCGCGCCCAGAGCCGCGTGGCTCCAGCCGTGCGCGGGGTCCCGCACCACATCGCAGCCTCGGGCCTCGTGTCCCGCGCTGCCTGTCCCCTTCCCTCGGGGCCCACCTCCTCCAGGCCCTGCTCCGGGGTCCGGACGCCCCTCCTCCGCCGCCCCGCGCGACGTTGGCATTCTGTCACCGCCCTTTCCTTGCCCTCCCCCTCCACCAAGCCGCCTGGGCTGATGTCTTCCGGGAACCTTCCGCCTGGTTTCTAAGGGGAAGTTCCTCCTCTGATCCCGGAAAAAGAAGGTCTCCTGGGGGACATAGTGGCAAAGTCCCTCCCGCCCTGCACTGACCCCTCTGCAGCCACGCGGTACAGTGGCTGTACGTGGCTGAAGAGCGAACGGTGTGGGGGTCTCCGTGTTTTGACTGCCTCAGTTGACTGCGTCTGAGGGGCCAGAGGTGGGCGAGGTCTGCGGGGCTAGTGGTCTTGCAGGCCCATGGGCTGAGAGAGGAAGACCCAGGAAAGCAGCAGCTACAGGCTTTCCCCAAACTTCGGCCTGGTGGTCCGGTCCCAGGACAGGGGGAGGTGGAGCCAGCCCTGGCCAGCTAAATCTCACTGTCACCCCCTGCAGTCCCACCAGCCGGCAGGCTCCCTCTCCCACTCCCACCACTGCCCGCCTGGCGCACTGTGCCTGGGGTACTCTTCTCCTCATCCTCCTAAAACTTTTTTGCTCCTTTCCCTTGGGACCCAGGTGGCACCTCTTCCATGAGCCTTCCTTGACTACCTTTCCCCAAACGCCTTCTCCCCTCCCTGTCCCCTTGATCTGCTTATTTTTCTGCTGCACAGCACCCTTACCTCCTCCGCACATCACATCCAAGCAGACGTTCTGCCGACGGCCTGACTCTCCCACGGGGGAAGGTCTGTTTTCTGCATGGCTGTATCCCAGGGCCTAGGACTTCGCCTGAGATTCATATGTCGAAGCCCTAACCCCCATAGGACAGCATTTGAAGATACGCATATCAGAAGGTAATTACAGTTAAATCAGGTCATACCATGGCGCCCAGATCTCACAGGACTGGTGTCCTCCCTGCCTCAGGCACTCTCCTCAGCTCCACAGAGCAGGGCCCTGCCTGACTCTCCTGTCCTCAGTGCCAGGCACAGGAGGCAGGAGCTCTGAAAAAGGGTGTGCAGGAGGGAATGGATGAAGTGACTGGGGGTTGTACCTCCCTTCTCACTGGGCCTGCGTCCCCATCTGTAACATGGGGACTCTGTGGGGGTTGGGGCCTCCAGTTCTGCATCTGCAGCCCCGCCTGAGCACTGGGTCTGCACTAGTGGCAGCGGACAACACAGAGGCTGGCAGTGCAATGGGCTTTCCCTCTGCCTCCCAGCTGCACAGCTCACCGGCCTTCCCACTGCTATCCCTCTGCCCAGGCCCGTCCCCCACCTGTATTCTTGGGACTCTGCCTGCCTGCAGCAGATTCTTCCCTGGAGGCCCTCTGGGTGGCTTGGCCAAAGCATTGTTTTCAGGGACTGCACAGGAGTCCCACCCCACCCCTCAAGCCTGCCTGCCTCGAGTCTGAGCCAAAGGACCAGCAACTGATCCCTCATCCCGTTTTCCCTGGCAAGCCCAGCACGGGTGCCAGAAAAGATTTGTTGAAAGAACAAATGAACTTCGCTTGGACTCCCCCTTTCTTAGGTCAGTAATACTCCTGGCGTTGCCATGCAGGGAATTTTCTGACATCAGCAAATGTAAAGTAATATCTTGGACTGGAAGAGGGTGGGGACAGGACTCAGGGCTCCACACAGCCATTTGTTCATCTTTGTGCTGCTCACATGGATGTGTTTGGTTCGTGGGAATTAAGCAAGTTGTGACTTGGAGGTGTCTTTGCATTTTTCTGTATACAAATATTCAGAATATAAAATAGAATTAGATAAGATATATAAAAACAAAAAGATTTGAGATCTTTGAAAAAATTCTGGTTTAGCCGTATTTCCTATTATGATGAAAATGTTTTCCATAAAAGATATAAAATCCACTTTTTTAGAGTGTTGAGCAAAACTGGAACGTGTGCATAAGGCCCCGAGTTCAAGTCTGAGCCCTAAATATATAAATAAATGGAAAAAGAATTCCATGGTTTTGTTTGTTAAATGTAACAATGTTTTATTGTTTCTACTGTACAATAAAATGAATGCTACAGAGGCTGGGTTGTGGCTCAGTGGTAGAGCACTTGCCTAGCACATGTAAGGCCTTAGGTTCAAACCTCAGCACCACATAAAATAAATCAATAAAAATAATAATGTTTATGATAATAATAATAAAATGAATGCTACAGAGACTTGCCTGAAATTATAAATTAATTGTTCAGGGTTAACAAGAAATGAATTATTCTGGAAGCCCGGCCCAGTGGCGTGTACTGTAATCCCAGCAGCTCAGGAGGCTGAGACAGGAGGATGGCGAGTTCCAAGCTAGCCTCAGCAAAAGTGAGGCGCTAAGCAACTCAGTGAGACTTTTTCTTTAAATAAAATACAAAATAAGGGCTGGGATGTGGCTCAGTGATCGAGTGCCCCTGAGTTCAATCCCTGGTACCTCCCCCCAAAAAAGAAATGAATTATTCTGTTGAATGTGTAAACAATTAACTTTGTAGGAAATGATTTTTCCCTTCATCATTCATTATAATATAGCATGTAAGAAAAAAATAAAACTGTCTTAATATCCAAATTTGAGAACTCTATGGCAAGATTTCTGAAGTGCATTGATTGAGCTATTCCATAACTGAATTTACTTAAAATGAGAATTAGCCTTGCTCAATCTTATTCCCCTCCTCCCTAAAATATGAGGAAGGTCATTGTTTTGGGATAGGCTCCTATACTGGGCCCCAACAGACTAGACTAAAAACCAAAGCCGAGTCATTCATCCCAGAGTTCCATGTCACCAAACCGAAATTAAGCTGTTTGTCTACCTTCCGAGAAATCAGAATTAGAGAGATAACAGCCAAATTCCCAAACAGACTATTTTCAACTGGCATGAAGATAAAGTCTCCTTGCTTTACCCTTTATAAAAACGTCACCTGGAAGAACCTTGTGTCAGATCAGATGGGGGAGGCTTTATTGAGATATCACTCCCGGGCGGAACTCCATCAGACCCACAGAGGGGACAGGGGAAGGGTCTGAGGAGAAACCGCGTGGAAGCTGGACGGGACTGGACTTTTATGGGGCTTACAGCAGGAAGGGAAGGGCTTGGGACAGGAAAAGGTGTTTCTAGGGTCCCTTGCCCCCTTGAAGTTGGTCAGGGGAGTTGGCTGAACTCCAGGATTGGCCAGGGGGGTCCTGTTGATTGACAGGCATTAGTCAGGAGATCTGGCTGATTGACAGGCTTTCCGCCGGCATCTGATTGATGTTCTTTTCCGGCGCGGGCTGCTTTGTTCTAAGTTGTCACTAAGTCGCCACCTCCGACCTAACACCTTGTTCACCAGTTCCTTTTCTGCCACTCTGTTTCCTGGACCCCACCTTACGAAACCTGCTGTTCTGCTCCTGCTGGGTGGGGGCCCTACTCCACTTCCTAGGATGGAGGCTGCCCCAGTTCACGAATCACCACAAAAGCCACGTAGACCTATCACTAAGTTTGTTGTAATTTTGTCTTTTTACAAGAGAGGTCAATGAGAAGAAAAGATTCTGTAGGCAGAACAATGATCCCAAAGATGTCCACATTCTACTCCCTGGAGTTGTAGCAATGTATACATCACCTTACCTGGAAAAATAGGCTTTGCGTGGTGATCAAGAGCGTGGATTTTGATCTCACCATTATGTACAACTATAATGCATCAATTAAAGACTATGGAAAACAGGGCTGGGCGTGGTGGCACATGCCTGTGATTCCAGCAGCTTGGGAGGCTGAGTCAGGAGCATCTCGAGTTCAAAGCTAGCCTCAGCAATGACAAGGCACTAAGCCACTCAGTGAGACCCTGTCTCTAAATAAAATACAAAATGGGGCTGGAGATGTGGCTCAGTGGTTGAGTGCCCCTGAGTTCAATCCCCAGAACCAAAAAAAAAAAAGGAAAACAAACAAGAACAGATTCTGAAATGGAGAAGTTATCCTGGATTACCAAGGTGGGCCCAACCTAATCACTTAAATTCTTAAAATGGGAGGACATTCCCCAGCTATGGCCAGAAAGACTCCACAATACAAGAAAGATCAGGTACATGCAGTGTGCTGGCACTGCCCCTGGTGGAAAGGACCACAAGCCAAGAGATGCAGGCAGCTCCCAGAGCTGGAAAAGTCCATGGGATCGACTCTCCCATTGAGCACACAGAGAGAACTCAGCTCTGCCTCACCTGAATTTTAGCCCAGCAAGACCCCAGTTGGACCGCTGACCTTCAGAACTGGGGTTGTTTTAAGGACTAAGAGT